CTACTGTATATCTGCACACACACTTATCGTAAATATACATTTGTACTCATTGATTCTGCAAAATCTTGTTGGGTACTTATTGTGGGATAGGTGTTGGGTTTGCCTGTCATCTTCAGTCCTGTGAGGTTTTTAAACCTGTAAAAACCTGTGAGGTTTTACACCTGTGAGGTGAGGGAGGCAAGTCATGCAGATAAAGAGATTACAGCCCCCTTAGTAAGGAAGAAGCTGGGTTTCAGTCCCAGGCTTGTTCCTTTCCAATCCAATGCTCTGTCTGCTGCCCAAGCCCCGATAGATGGTTCTACCCAATCCAGATTCAAGAGTCCAATCCAAGACCTACTGAATCAGAATTTGGGAGGAGGGACCAGGACATCCACCTCAATGGTCTGAATTCTTTTCTTTTTTATTTTTTAAAGATTTCATTTCTTTATTTTTAAAAAGGGAGGGAGGAAGGGAAGGAGAGAGGGAAACATCAATGTGTGATTGCCTCTCGTACGCCCCCTACTGGGGACCTGGCCCACAACCCCGGGATGTGACCTGACTAGAAATTGAACCAGCAACCTTTTGGTTCACAGGCCGGCACCCAGTCCACTGAGCCACACCAGCCAGGGCTCAATGATCTGCATTCTTATGGGAGATCAAGAAGTTGGGGCTTTTGAAAGGCCAGTGTCTGCGGCCTGCTGGGCTCCCTTGGAGCCGCATCCTTCCTGGAGTCCCACGGGATTTTTATTTTGAGTTGCTCATGACTCTCTAAGCCTGGGGCATTTCATCTTACCATCTGGTAGCTGCAAAGAAGGAGTAATTTGGCACAGGAACCTGAGCAAGCCTCGGGGCCAGGACCACAGGAGCCTTTGCTTTGAGAGGAACTTCTGTTACCATGGCAACTGCGGTCCACATCTCATCTCTAGGACCACTGGACACAATGTAGAGCCAGGGGAAGGAGTAGCAGGGTGTGAATGTGGAGCAGTGCTGCTAGGATTCATAGCAAGATGGGGAAGGATGAGAAAAGAATGAAGAATGCAGCCTTTGGGGAACAGGAATTGTCCCTTTGCTGAGCAAAGAGCTGAGGATTTTTCAGAGCCATTTTTTGCTTGGGTTGTCATGTCTATACAACTGACCCTTGAATAATACAAGTTTGGACTGCATAGGTTCACTTATACGTGGATTTTTTAAAATAAATACTATCCATTTATTTTCCCTTTCTTATGATTTTCTTAATAACAGTGTCTTATCTCTAGCTTACTCTATCGTAAGAATACAGTATACAATACATACACAAAATATGTGTTAATTGCTTGTTTATGTTATCAGTAAGATTTCTGATCAACAGCAGGTTATTAGTCAAGATTTGGGGGAGTCAAAAGTTATATACAGATTTTCGATTGCTTGGGGAGTTGGCCCCCCAACCACGGTGGTGTTCAGTAGTCAACTGTATAGTCAATGGCCAGCTGGCCTCTCACAATCCACTCAGCTCTAGACAGGACAAAGCAGATCAAAGCCTCAGAGTGTGGAATAAGAATGATAGCTGCCATATACCATGCCCTAAATATTTCACATATATTACCCACACACCCCTCAAAGCAATCCGATGTGGCTCATGTGTTATGCCAAGTGCTGGGTTAAAAACAAAGCCTAGTTAAGCTCACCGACCTTCCTAAGGTCACACAGCAGAGATACGTTTGGATCACTGTGCTCTTTCTCAAAGTCTCCATTCTAAGTCAGGAAAACAGAATTTCCTGGAGTGGCAACAGTTCAGCAGATGCACCGGTGCCCAGGGCAGGTTGTGGACTCTTCTACTTCTGGATCCTCCCATTTCCACTCATCTCCCTAATTTCTGCTCCAGTCCCAGCACGTGGTACAGGTTCAGCAAATGTTAATGGGATTGAACGGAGGCGGTAATGCGCTCATCTCTCAGCTTTCAGGATATGGTCATTCACACGCCCTCACTTTCTTGAGCACTGGAGAAAGAGGAGGAGTTCCAGAAATCACACATACCCCAAGGCTGGGGTATTGCATTATCTTTGAGCTTCTTTGCAGTGGAGGTTATGAATTGTCCTTCGCTTCCCTTTGGATGTGGTGGTGAAGAGGAGGGAATTCAATCTGGGCTTGCAGAGAGGATGTCCTGCAGCTGAACATCCTCCTTCGTGTGATCTGGTGACAAAAGACAGTTAAACAGGCTGGATTTCTCTGACCCGAGTGACTGAAGCCCTCTGGGGCTGGGACTCTTGAAGGCTTTGCCACCATCTCTCTCTGCCAATCGTGTGCTGCCTTGGTTCAGGCTGCAACAGCAGCCTTTTGGAGATTAGTCTCTGGGGCTTGTGCGCCGAGTTGTATCATCATGTGGGGCTGGGCTATCATTCGAAAGTTCAGGGCTGGCCAAGCCCTGTGAAGTTGGGGGTAGTTAGGAAGACCACCTGGTTGTCAGCGCTCCCTGCCCCACACCACTGACACTGTCACTGTCAGCTCAGTGGGGCAGAGGGGTTGAGTTCAGGCTCTGGGACTGGGCAGCCTGGGTTCGAATCCCAGCTCTGTCACTTTCTAGCTGTGTCATCCTGGGCAAATTACTGAAATTCTTTGTGCCTCTGTTTCCACACTTTGTCAGCTTGCTGGGAGAATGAAATTGGTTAATTTATTTAAAGTATTTTTTAACTGCTTGGGCGACAGTTGTCCTCAGAGGTGGCAGCTCCTTCTCACTCTGAGTCAGTCAATCACCAAGCACTGGGGTGGGTGCCCTGGGGGGCGCAAGGCTGACTCAGCCGTGGGCTCTGCCCTCCAGGGTTCTCTGGTCGAGTAGGAGACCTGTGTGCCTTTAGGCATGACAAAGTGGCTTCCTGGACCCAGAGAGATGACACAGACCTGAGCTCAAGCCTTCCACATACACACATGGTCATGCACAAACACATGGTCCCACATGCAGACATACTCACACACACTGGTACACACACGCTCACAACCACACACACACGTACCACAATCACACACACGTAGGCACTGCGGCCAGCATCTCAAACCCCCCCATCTCCCCAGCACATGTGGAAATCTGTGGAAATACTGAAAACCACACTGGAGCACTGGGACGGTTGCCATGGGAACTGGGAATTCCAAAATCCTAACTTGAGGGCATCTGAATCCTTGTTCTGAATATTTCATTAGTCATGGAGTTCGTGCTCTGAATTCTGAGTCATTTCTCCTTCAGGGGTCAGACTAGGCAGCCAAGCAGGGAGTTGGTGAGGATGGGCAATTAAAGGCCTGATTGCTTTCTGTCTGAGTGATGGAGTGGCCCAGACAGGTGCTTCTGGGAAAGTTCTATCTGGAGGGGGCATGTGTGTGCAAGTGTGCGCACATGCACGCTCGCCTAGGTGTGAGTCCATGGAGTCTTCTCAGGTGAGGCCAAGAATGTGCAGCAGTCGTGCCCGTGTCCGCAGCCCCTGTATTGGTCAGGCCAGGCCAGGCCAGAGCAGGTTGTGGTAACAGATACAACCTCCAATCTTCATGACTCAACACCATAAAGGTTGGCTTCTTACTCACACAAAATTCCTGTTGGGTTAACAACCCCCTTCATCTTGTAGTGGCATCTGGAACCCAGGACCTCAAATACGGCCATGACAGAGGAAAAAGAGACAGAGGAGGCTCATTGTCTCTCACCTACCTTGTCCCCACAGTGGGCACATGTCCACCTGCCTAGGCTTCAGTGGCCCCAACATAAGCACAAGAGACCCAGAAATGTGGAGGCATTCCTTTGGGACCACAATCGTCCTTACTACAGCTCTCCCTTTGTGCTTCTGCAAACTAGAATGTCCCCGCCCAGCACGGGGCCCATTCCTTGGGGACAGTTCAAAGGCTGGCTCTGATACTTGCTAGCTGGTGGCCTTGGGCCATGTATGACTCAGGGTCCTAACAGGAAACAGATGGCACACTCAGAATAGAAGTTTGAAGGGGGCTTATTTACAAAAGCACTTTTACAAAGGATAGTACAGTAAAAGGAACTCAGAGCAGCTGAGCTGTTACCACCCTGGTCCAAAGACGCAAGACCGGGGAGTGGTCAGTGAGACCAGAAGGAGAGAGTCAAAGATAGATGACTGACTACCTTGAGAAGAACAATAGAATGACATCGCCTGCCCAAAGGATCTCAGCGGGAGGGAGCCAGGGAAATAAACACCACGACCTCCCTCCTTTCTCTGCTGGGGCTCCCCATTGGCTGAGCCAAACAGAAGCCAAAAGGCCCAGGAAGATGCTGATTTAGACCAAACAGGTCATCTTCCCAAGGCCAAGTGGACAGTGCCCTGGGAGGACAAAGGCACACTATCTGGCAAAGGCAATCAATTTCTATTCTTCGGGCCTCCCTTTCCTCATTTGTAGAAAGTGGATGCTAAGATCGTCACCGTGTTGGTGAAAGTAAACGTAGTCATATATGCAAAGACCTGGCGTAATCAGTCCTCAATAAATGTTGATTTCTCAGGGTCTGAAAACCCCCTTTGCAGTCTAACGGTTCACAACTCAGGGGACACGAGCTACCCTAAAATCTGGTATGAATCTCTCAAATTTTCCAGACAAAATGTTTTTCCTAAAAATAATTCCATCTTCAAGCTTCCTTTGTATGTCACGTGTTTTACAGATATTATCTCTTTTTAGCCCACAATATTTTCCTAAGCGTCTTGCCAACAAGTTGGGACTCTGGCAGAGAAAGTGACCAAGCCATCCTTGGTCAGCTCAGCCAGAGAGTGGGTCTGGCCCCAAAGCCTGGTCCATCCTTTCTGCTCTACTGTGATTTCTGAGCACGTGTGCACAATTAACAGATGAAGTGGAAAATGTTGCAATTCCAAAGCTTGAGAATTTCCCTCCCATGAAGGGAGGCAAAGGCACCCAAGGTCCAGGACCATGTCTTTCCAGAGGGCCCACAGAGTCGTGGCAGGCTCCGGAAAGTGCCCCTGCCCTTCAAGGACCTCTGTGCCTCCCATGCCTGAGTTCACTCTCTCACCGTGGTTGCCGCTGGTCGCTTTCAGGTTCCCCGTCTCCCGCCCCACCCAGCCAGCACGACACCAGCGGTGCAGAGAGCCAGCCCTTGGAGCCAGGTAAGGAAATGATCTTTCTGGGATTTAAGGTCAGCTTTCTGAGACCAAGCAGGTGGTGTCCCGGGGTGACAGAAAGGAGAAGTGGACTTTTAGGGTAGCAGGGAGGCTCCCCCACTTCAGGCAACACCTCTCCTTCCTAAACCAACACCCTGCAGGTCCCCATTAGATTCACTTGGAGATCTCAGAGTTACCATCATCTCTGAGAGGCCACTGATAAAAAGTCATACACATATGACAGGGTGTTCAGTGAACATTTTAAAGGGATTTGCTGAGAACAAGCTAAAGGAGCCTTGGTGAGGGTTGGGGGTTCCCCCAGGTGGGTCCTAGATTAACTCAAGAGATATTTATAAAGCACCTACTGGGTACAAAGCTGGGCACTAACAATGGGTGGCGGGGGGGACAATCCTGGGCAAACAGGAAAACAGGAGCAAGGAAGGGCTCTGGGGAAGGGAGAACCCCCCCCCACACCACACACCTTCAACCCCTTCACCAACCCCGCGTCCGCCTGTGCCGCAAGGTTCTGGGATCACCGTGGCACTCCACCGCAGCGAGGGCCCCGCAACGGTGGAGAGGCCTGGGAGGGGAAGCATGGCACCCGCAATCCTGGGGGCCTCTGACCCCAGAGCTCTGCCCTTCCTTCACATAAGTGTGCTCTCGAGATCGGGGCAAGAGAGGAGGGTTTGTGGGGACTGGACCCCTGGTTCTCTGTCACCCCGGGCCTAATTCCTCCTAACCTTCAGAGTCACCCTGAGCCCCTCTTCCTGACCCGAAGGAGAACCAGAGAGTCAGGCTTCAAAGGGGGCTTGGGGATGAATCTACCCAGCTCCGCTTTGCAGGCTGGAAGGCTAAGGCTCAAAGTTGGGTAGGGTGTTGTCCAAGGTCACGTGGCAGGTCAGCGGTGGGGCTTCTGGCAGGCGCCTGCCCCACCGCGCTCCTGGAATGGGCAGAGTCCGAATCGGCCCCGGCCTCAACTGGTGTCTGGTGCTTCCAGAGGAGGGGCTCAATATCCGCCTGGTGAACGGGAGCAGCCGCTGCAGCGGGATCGTCGAAGCTCGGCTAGGACAGTCCTGGGAGCTCCTGTGCGGGGACTCCTGGGACCCCATCACCGCGGAGGCCGTGTGCCGCATGCTGGGCTGCGGCACGGGGGAGTGGGTGCCGGTCCAGCCGGCTCCGCCGACGTCGGAGCTGTCACCAGATTGGGCCGTGGGGAATGCCAGCGGGACCCCGAACACCACGCAGGCCATGGCGCCCTCTGTCCTGTGCCGCAGGGCCGAGTGGCAGTTCTGCAAGGTGGAGGGGCAGGCGTGCGTCAGCGCCGGGAGGCCGGCCCAGGTCACCTGCACAGGTACAGCAGCCTGCCCCGCGCCTGCCCGCTGAGCCCCTGCTGTGGGAGGGGGAGAGAGCACCCATTCCCGCCGGCCTTTAGCCGATGCCCCTCACGCCTGTCCCCAGCCCTGGGCACCGGACCCCAGCCTTGCCCTCCTGACTTCGCCCCCCTTCCGTCATCAGCGCAAACACGACTGGTCCCCACACCGCAGGGACTGCCGCTTTGCATTATTCCCAGCTCTGAGTATTTCCGCAGATGTGGCCTGCAAGCCTTTCTCCCTGCTAGATCTGCGGCTGACCCACTTGGTCCCCAATCCTTCCTGCATCCTGCTCTGGACTTCTGGCTCCTTCACCTCTGCCCCTACCCCCTGTGCACATAAATACACCAGGTTCCCAGGGTCCCCAGCACCTGCGCCCTCCTCTTCAGGCCCCGCCCACGGGTGTCTGGCCCCACCCAGTAGTTTGCACCAGGTTACTAGCCCTTCCCACCGGCTCCACGGCCCTGCCTACAAAGTATCCAGCTTCCTCCTGATTCCTTAGTCCTGACCAGTGCCCCACCTCTGCCCTGCAGGGTTTCCCAGTCCTGCCCACAGGGTTACAGTCCCTCTCACTGGGTCCACAGCCCCGCCCACAACTATCCGACCCAGTCCCCACCACCCCCTCCCTTCCTGGCCCTCCTCGGCCCCCATCCACAAACCCCTTGCCCTCCCGCCCCCAGAGAATCAAGCCCTGCGCTTGGTGGACGGTGGCAGCCCATGTGCAGGCCGCGTGGAGATGCTGGAGCACGGCCGGTGGGGCTCTCTGTGCGACGACACGTGGGACCTGCAGGATGCCGAGGTGGTGTGCAGGCAGCTGCGCTGCGGCTGGGCCATCCAGGCCCTGCCGGGCTTGCACTTTGCCCCCGGCCAAGGAGCCATCCACCGGGACCAGGTGAACTGCTCCGGGGCAGAGGCCTACCTGTGGGACTGCCCAGGGCTGCCTGGAGACGGCTACTGCGGCCACAAGGAGGACGCTGGCGTGGTGTGCTCAGGTCAGTGGGCGCTGTGTCCGAACCTCGGCCCTCTGCCAGCACTCACTGTGGGCCTCCTGGGCACCAGCCTTGAAGGCAGTGCTGGGGACATGGTCCCTGTCCTCGCATGGTTACCATCCGGCAGAGAAGATGAGACCCAGATGAACAAAGGCCCGGGGAATGAGTGGTAAAAACCCTAAGAAAGGAAGCCAGGTGACATTTAGAGGCCACAGGCAATCCAGAGCTAGAGGGATAAACCCGCCCACCTTCTGGAAGAGGAGGCATTAGGGTGAGTTCTTCTAGCGTGGAAGTTGGTCACCTGGTTCAGAGCAGCAAGAAGAGTTGGAGGCAGGGAGGCCCCGGAGGAGTCCAGGTGAGACCATCTGGTCCAGCCAGCGCTTCTCTATAACAGGCGCAGGAATTGGGGGCGGGGGAGCAGGGCGTCGATAAATGTAGATTTTGATTCAGGAGGCCCAGGGCAGGACTTGAGATTTGCATTTCAAGCAAGATTCCAGGTGATGCTGCTGCTGTTGGTCCATGGACCGCACGTGGAGTAGCAAGGATGTAGGGTCCTGAAGCCAGAGCAGACCACAGGGCATGCAGATACGAGGGGGAGAGCACACAAGATCTGGAGGCCGATCAGCTGTGGGGTGTTTGCATTCAGGGGTCTGGGCTGGTGGGGATTTGGGCCCAAAGATCCTGCCCTGACACCGCCCCCACCCTCCACTGCAGAGCACCAGTCCTGGCGCCTGACCGGGGGCGCTGACGGCTGCGAGGGGCAGGTGGAGGTGCACTTCCGTGGGGTCTGGAGCACAGTGTGTGACAGTGAGTGGTACCCATCAGAGGCCCATGTGCTCTGCCAGGCCTTGGGCTGTGGGACCGTGGCCGAAAGACCCACGGGGCTGCCTCACTCCCTATCGGGCAGGATGTACTACTCATGCACGGGAAACGAGTCCACCCTCTCGGACTGTTCCTGGCGATTCAACAACTCCAATCTCTGCAGACAGTCAAAGGCAGCCAGGGTCCTCTGCACAGGTACGCCTCCCCCAAACCCTCTCCACCCTCACCCCAGATTGGGACAAGGAATTCCACCTGAATCCACAGCCTAAGAACTTGCAACCCAAGGACCACAGCTTAGACTAGACCAACAATGACAAATACTGGCATTAGAGGGACTATCGTTCCTAGCATACCCAGGCAGACGTTGCTAATTGGTCAGGGCATCTTATCCACAAATCCTTAACTGGAGCTGGCTCAGGGGATAAAACCAACTTGCTGTCCCAGGGATGGTGATCATAGTAAGAATTATATTAGGAGACACTAATAATAACGTCAGTGACAGTGTCTGGAGTCCTGATCATGTCCCAGACATCGCCGAGCACTTGGTATGTCTTACATTGGCTAAGCCTCACATCCACTCCATGAATTGGGTTCTACCATATTTTACCAAATCTGAGACGGCACGGACATGTCACATCACTATTATTTTATGTACATTAATGGACAAAAATGCTGCCAAAGTAAACTCTTAGCATGTCATTAGTTGTAATGATTTCAAAAGTGTTAAGGTATGAAAACACAAGAGCTTTAGACACGAGGAAACATGGTGTTAGTGTGTCTTTGGAGTTCACACGGCTGGCTATGGATTCCAGCGCGGCCATTTACCAGCCAGAAGGCCTCAGCTTCATGGCGATGTGGATGCTGATATAGCCACTCCCAGGGTAGCTGGGAAATCAGATAGCAGCCCCGTGGGACCTTGGGATTCTGCCGTCCCTTACCTGTCACATGCTTATAATGATGAGAGTATCAGTGTCCCACCTCTTGAGGCCCACCTGAAGAACCAACCAGGCCAAATGGAAAAGGGAACTGTGTCTGTGATAGATTCTCCAGAAGGAAGAGGTCATTCTTTTATTAGTCCCATATTCTAACCAGGGGGCCTTCCCAGCATTCAATCCATGATGTTCCTCCTTGTTGTAGGAAGTGGGGAAGACAGATTTCCTTAGCCACGTGCCCCCTGGAACCATGCCCCCAGTTCCAGGTCACTTGTCTGTCACGTTCAGTTCCTGGCACGAGAACTGGCACGTAGTAGGTGCTACGTGTCAAGTGAACGAATTGCACTTCCTGACAGGTTCCCAGAGGTTGCTCAATCTGTCCACTTCTGCAGTTCCTGCAAGTATTCAGCCAGTTACCATAGGTGAGTGTCACTGGGTTCACAGTGTCTCAGAGACGGGGGTGCATGTGAGTATGTGCATGTGTGTATCTGCCGGGGTGGGGCCTGATGGTCTGCCCCCCATCGCCCACCTCCAGACACTGTACTTGTATTCCCTGGGCCTCCTTGGTGCCTTGTGCCCGTTTCCCCATCCCCACCCTCCCATGTCAGCTCTACAGCTCCCTAAATCCTGACATTCCATGGACAGGAGTCTACTCCCCACTCTCCTGTGACCTCCTATAGGGTAGGAGGCTAGAGCTGGAGGGCTGAGTTGGTCCGACGAGAGCCTGGTGATGAGGACACTGAGGGTAACAGCCGGTGTGTTTACGATGTCCCAGGCTCTGGCCCAGCGCTCTGGGTCATTACTTCCCACCCTTTCATCTTTCCAGCAGCCCCCTGGGGAGGTCTCATCATAACCCTTTCACAGGGGAAGGAGGTCAGGCTCAGATGGTAAAGCAACATCCAGCCAGCGTGGGCTGGAATTTGCATCCAAGGTTCTGAATTCCAGACCCATGCTTGCATCTGCCAGCTGGTACCTCTGTGCAGCATGGCTGGCTTCAGGGAAGACACCTGGGGCTCGATCCCAGCTGTGCCTCCAGCTACCTGTATCATATCGGGCACTTCTTAACCTCTCTGAGCCTCAGATCCCTTGACTGTAAAATGGGATTGAAAACCATAGCACTTCTCCTCGTGTTGTTGTGAGTCTTCAATGAATTAATTTTTATAAAGCATTTAGAACAGGGATTAGTATACGGCAAGTACTGTCTGGGCATGTTAGTCTTGTGAATCTTTAGTCCAGGCATGGAGCCCCTGGCATGAGGTGGCTGAGAGTCACCTTCTCTGGGAAGTCAACCTTTGTCGTTCCCATGGAGAATTAGGTGGCTGTAGCAAAACCTCATGCCCCCCAGGTCCCCATCCCTACCTGTGGCACAGCACTGTATTGGGTTGAGCCGACATACCACTAGGCAGAGACCGTGACAGCTTGTGACACTGTTGTCACACAGTCGGTGCTCAATAATGGTGGAGCAGAGAGAGCTCTGTGGGCTGGGGGCCAGGAGAAAGTTTCACTCAGTCAGTTATTCATTCAGCATGCATTTCTTGCGCACCTACTATATACCAGGCCCCTAAAAGTAGATGAGAAAAAAATTTTTTAAAGGAAAGAGGAGGATAGGTCCAAAGAAAAGCAGCTCAGCTGCAGACAGGATAGAGAGGCGAGAAGATGAGCAAGGAGAAGTCTATGCCCCATTCTTCTTTCTCCCTGACTTGGGGTTCTTGCTTCCAGAACCTTCTGTGACAGTGAAAATGAAGGACTGTGATTCTCGGGAGCTAATATTCCTCATTGCCTGCATCATCCTGGGAGTTCTCCTCCTTGGTTTACTCATCATCATCGCTGTCATCCTCTTGAAAGTTAAAGGAAAATACGGTAGGTGCAGAATTCTAGGAGCCACAAGGAAGGCCCAGAGATGGGAAGAAGCAGGCCTGAGGTGCAACCCTTCCAGGGAGATGTGTGAGCTTGGGGGACCCCAGCAGGACTAGCAGTGACTCAGCAATGGCCACCCCACCCTGGACCCGGGAGCACCTCCTGATGGGAAGGATTTTCCCAGCATGCCCAGGAGACCAATGTGGGCTCCTCAGGAGGATCAGACTCTGTGTGTGTGTGTGTGTATGTGTGTGTGTGTGTGTGTGTGTGTGTGTGTGTGTGTTTTGGAGGTGGAGGGAGGTGTCTCAATAAGAACAGGACCAGGCAGACCAGAAGGGGCCAAAAAATAACTCACAGAATCTCTGCCTCCCATCCCTCAGCCCTCCCTGCTATGGCAAACCACCAACACCTACCAACCACCACCCCAGCAGGGATCAATAGCTATCAAGAGGTCCCCATCACCATCCCCAAAGAAGAAGGTAGGATGTCAGCCACCCTGGGGGTGGGGAGGGCTGGAGAGGACAGGAAGGGCATACTTTCTGGAGGCTCTGCACTGTTTAGTCGAAGCAGTGCCCTAGTGGCGGATGAGACCCGGGCCAGCCCACTAGTGGCTGTGGGACCCCGCGCACATCAGGTCTCAGCCTGGGTATTGACGGGCAGGTGAGCATCCAGTGCAGTCATTCTGGGACCCTAGGCTTTCAAGTTCTGGACAAACACAGCCCAGGGCATTCTGGACTTGGCTCTCGTTGGAAATCTCCACTCTGCTAATTGGCTAGTAGGCTGCGGTACCCACATCGCGTTCAGTGGCTCGCTCAGTCAGCCTCCCTGCAGAGCCCCATCAGGATTTTCCTGGAACATGATTTTATTTCATGTTCTCTGAATGAGAAAAAAAATGGATCGTTCATCCATGTTTTATGACATATGGATTCATACCTCTTGAAACTCTTGTAAAGGAGTTGGAGTTTAATCACATTGCATTATGAATATATTAAATCTCCTTTCTTTGAAAACCAATACAGAACTCTGCCCAATATTAATATTTTCTGCAGTGTGCACATAGTTGAGGAGAGAATATGAGTAAGAGAACCTAGAGCAAGGCTAGGCACCGCGCAGACCCTCGCTGTGCACGATGGCCTGGAGGTTAAAAGCCACACTGCCTGCTTCCCTGGGCAAGGGGAGAATCTCTGTGCCTCAGTTTCCTCAGCTATAAAATGGAGACACTAACGTTCCCTACGTCACAAAGCTGTTGAGAGAATTAAATGAGATGATATTTGTAAATGTTAGACTAGTGCCTGGCATATAGGGACTGCTAAGTAAAGGCACATAAGTAGATGTTACTCAGTTTCCCATGTTTGAAATGGGTGGGAAGAGCTTGGAAAACCCAGGCGGGATAGTCTTGTATGGATGGGCCGCCTGGCGCTCTCCCGCCTCTCTGTCTCTCGCCACCCACGCTCTCTGCTGCCTCTCCCTGCACCTTTCTGCCCGCCACTTCGCCATGCCCCCCACTCTGTTCTCTCCCCAGTTCCCAAGCTGCCCGTCCAGGTCCAGCTCCCGACCCCCGCAGACGCGGACTCCAGCTCGGACTCTGACTATGAGCATTATGACTTCAGCGCCCAGCCTCCCGTGGCCCTGACCACCTTCTACAGTGAGTGCCTGGGCCCGGGCGCCCAAAGGCCCGCTTGCCTGAACCAGGGAGAGGGCCCAGCTTCCTGGGGACCTTCAGCAGGTTCCACCTGACGACCCCTGCACAAGAGTGGAATCACCCTTGCTCTCCACTCTATGGACTGTAAATGGTCCCACCTGAAGTTTTCAAAGTGCTTTTCGACCCTGGAGGCATCTCTGTGTCTACAGGCATTTCCACTCTGGACCTCCTCCCCTCCCACACTTGCCTCGGCCATGCAGGGTCTTAAGACCTGTCCTTCGACATTCACCCGACGGTGGCTGTGTCTATGTAAGATACCAGGGAGCCCAGGTGACAGACACAGTCCAGGTGGCTTCCTGCACGCTCATACGCTCTTTCTGTGCCCCATCCTCCCCATCAGCCTCACCCCAGCCTCCCCTGTGAGCCCAGCCCCACCTCCTATCTGGCATCTTTGGCTCTCTTCTCTGCCTTCTGGGGTGGCAGGGCCCATGCCAAGCTGGGAGGTTGAATGAGAGCAGAGAACCCCACACCCACTGTGGAGTCCCTTGGGAGCTTGTCACAGATTCCTTAGCCCCACCCCGCACCTACTATGTCAGTTAGGATGACAGTTTGGATGTGTGTGACAGAGACCCCCCAAATCAGTGTCCTGAGACATTGGCCAGGGCCCAGATTCCTTCCTTCCTGCCACTCTGTTGTCCCTAAGATGATGCCGCTGTCCACGTGGTCCAGACTGGCTCACCGCCATATCCCCATTCCAGCCAGAAGGAAGGGGGAAGGGAAGGTGGGCCATGACCTACCGTTAAGGCTCCCACTCACAGCTCAGCAGCTGGAACTTAAACACGCCAGCTGCAAGAGAGGCAGGGAGGGAAGGGAGCCTTTGTCCTGGGCCACTGTGTGTCCAGATAAAAGCCCAAGGGTCACCTGTTATGAGAGGGGAGAATAGATATTGGGGACAGCCAGCCATCTCTGCCCCACTTGCTGAATCAGGGCCTCTGGGGGCGGGACGAAAATCATTCCACGTCTGGTCCCTGCATTGGTGCTTGGGAGCCCCAGGGATGAGGCGTCCTTAGGACCTGAGATGCTGAGCCCAGGCGTGGGAGATATAAGACTGAGAGTCCCAAATCCTGGGACCCTGAGACTAGGAGTCAGTGGTACCAGGTTCGAAGGCGCTGACTCCAAGGTTATAGACACCAGAGTCCATAAAATCCTGTGACGCTGCGTCGCCTTGAGCCTGAAACGAAGGTGCCACAGAAGCTGTGATGCAAAGATTCCAGACACTCCAGCTTGTGCTCTGGGCAGGCTCCTCGAAGGGGCAACCTCACATGAGGAGGGAACCCAGAACTGGCTGTTTCTTTCATAGAGGGAGGGGCAACTGGGGACCAACAGTGCAGGGCACAAGGGTTTCTGGCCAGGAGCAACCTGTCCCCGTGCTGGTTTCAGATCCAGGTTCGGCGTCTTCCTGGCCTAGGACATAAGCCTGGGATCTGCTGGGGAAGCCTAGGCCCCAAAACCGGACCCCTGGGGTTGTCCGCCCACCCTGATCAGCCTCAGGGGCGCCCTCCCCCAGGCTCCTGGGACAAGGAGATGGAGTCTTCGCCGTCCTCACCACCTCCTCTGCTTGTAGATTCCCAGCGACACCGAGTCACAGATGAGGAGGTCCAGCAGAACAGGTTCCGGATGCCCCCCTTGGAGGAAGGTGAGTCGGGCTGTGGGCGGGGGGGCCCTGGACGGGGTGCTGCCCGCCCTGCCTCCAGACCTCACAGCTGAGCTCACCTTGGGAAGCCCCAGCAACCTCCCTCAGCAGGCCCCTCCTGACTTTAACAATTCCTAGTGGCAGTCCGTTCTTTGTCAAGTCTAACCTAAAGCCTTCTTCTTTCCTGGCCCGGGACTTGAAGAGGTGCATGCCTCCCAGGTCCTACCTGTCACCTCTGGGCACTGCATTGCAGATCCCCTCTCCCTGAGCCCTCAGCAGCACCTAAGGAGCAACAGCGAGTCCAGCACATCATCAGGGGAGGCCTACAGCAACAGTCCCAGCAGCAGGCTGCCGCCATGGAAGCCTCCGGGCTTTTCTTCGGAGAGGATCCCCCTCCAGGAACAGCCCCCGAACTTGGAGCTGGCTGGCTCCCAGGGGACTTTTTCAGGTAAGCCGGGCCAGGGGGATGGCGTGCATGCCCCAGCCCCCTGTCCGGTAGCCAACCTGGCTGGAGAAATCATAAAGCTAAGAGCCCTGAACCAGGTTGAGTTCAGGATTCTAGTCCCAGCTCTGCAGCCACTTGCTGTGTGACCTTGGACAAGTCTGTTCCCCTCTCTGGGCCTTCATTTCCTCATTCGTCAAGCTGGAGACTTGACTCAATGGAGTCCTGAGGGCCTCTCAGCTCTGGCAGTATGAGCACCGACTGTCTCCCCCAGGCAGGGGGTGACGGTCTCTGGGGGTTTCCGACAGGGCCCTCGGCTGACGACAGCTCCAGCACCTCATCCGGGGAGTGGTACCAGAACTTCAAGCCGCCGCCCCAGCCCGTGTTGGCAGAGCAGTTTGGGTGTCCAGGTGCCAGTGGCAGGGGAGGGAATCTTGGGAGGGGGGCCACAGAAGGGATGGGGAGTAGATGAGTGGGAGACATCTGGATCCGTTGGATCCATCCGCCCAAGGAGAAAAGAAGAGAGGTAAAGGGACTTAAAAAAAAAAGGAATATGAGGAGGTAGGGAAAATGGAGGTAAATGGGACAGAGAAAGATTCAAAAAGAATGCTTTGAGAGGAAGTGAACTCCCCGTTAGTGGGAGCATTCAAGCAGAAGCAGCCAGATGGCCCCTTGAGGGGATTGTGGAGGCAGTGGGGCTCCCAGCATCAGCTGTCCATCAGGGGCTATGCCAGCTTAGGGATTGCATCCCTGAACAAAGATAAAGCTATGCTGTTGTGAGGGAGATGGCAGCGATCAAGATGACAAAATGGGATTCTTGTCGCGCCTCAGCCCATAGGATCACGGGGAGTGGGATGTGGACTCAGACCCACTCAGCTCTGCCCTGGGGCAGCTGGGGCGATGATCGGGCCTGCTGCCGCCCTAAGCCTGTCCCTGACGTGAGCCTCTTGGCCACACAGGATCCTCCGGTCCCCAGCCTGATTCTTCCGATGATGATGATGACTACGATGACATCGGAGCAGCTTAGGTGGGGCCCAGAGAGGCTCCAGGTGGCTCCCTTTCACTGGACTCCCACTCTGCCTACTCCCCTGCCCCACCCTGTCCTCCCAGATTGTGCCCCAGGGAGCCGAGCGGCGTCCGCTGGAGAGATGAAAGGAAACCCCACAGCCCAGTGCTTCTCCGTCTCTGTCCGTCAAGCAGAACCTGCTGGCACAGCCCTCTGCCAGCGCCAAACAGCAGCCCCAAGGTGGAGGGGGAGAGGTGGCCAGTGCTGTCTCAGGGACAGACAAGTGAGCGGTCTGGGCTGCCTCTCAGCAGGCGGCACCGAGGGGTTGAACTGGATGACTTCTGAAGCCCCTTCTGACCCTCGGGTGTCTGGTGCTTTGGTGCCCTGCGTCTCAGGCAGTGCAGGGCCCAGAAGTAATGAGAGGGGCAAAAACGGGACCGTCCCAGAGCTGCCCAGGAGGTGCCAAGTGCAGGGGCTGCTGGGCTGCTGGGCTGCTGGGCTGCTGGGCTGCTGTCACTCTGATAGGTAGATTCTGGGGTTGGGGGCAGCATACCGGCACATCCGGGCTTCTACTGGAGCAGGGAGTCCAGCCTTTCTGGCCACAGCCAGCTGACGGTGAGCAGAACAACTGCCCTCCCCCAACCCCCACCAAGGGACTGGGGCCTGAGCCCAATCCTGCCTCTGGAGACCCTCGGAGCCCAACAGAGTCACAGCCCTGTTCTGCAGTGACTGTCCCTGGACACCGGATCCTTATTCTGAGCTTCCAACAGTTTACAAAGATGATCCCAGCATAGACTCTGAGTTGGGTCCCAGCCCCTAAAGGGGCAGAAGCTCAGAGATGTCTGCCAGGAGGGGTCTAGAGCCTCACCACGCCCCGAGGCCCCATCTGTCTGCTTGGATTGGTGGGAGCCTCCCGGATGAGCCTGTGAAGAGGCAATATCGCACCCAGAGCCACAAACATGACCCAGCAGACTCCCCAGAGAGGCCAACAGGGGGAGGGGGTGCTGGGGGGGCTCGGGGTTAGCTGCTTGGTGTCCTGTTCTGAGCATCTGGAGATTAAACTAATTGCTAAATGAAACCTGGGCACGGAGTGACAAGTCCTTGAACCCTTATAGAACCCCAGGATCTGTGTGTGTGTGTATGTGTGTGTGTGTGTGTTGCGGGGTCAGCTCCATCCACTGAGGCCTACTGTGGCTGGCACGGTGGAACATGCCGGGGATACAGGGACAAGAGGATATAGGGCTTGCCCCCTGGAGGAAGTGGACCGCAAGACAGCTGCCTGTGAGTTTGGCAGCCACCATGCTCCCTGATCAATCTGCCCCATATGGGCCATGGCGCAGTGGGTGTGGAGCCGCTGTGCTGAGTGAGTTTGAACCTGGGCCTCCAACAGCTTCTGAGGCCGGATAACATGAGGGGTTCTGTGCTCAGCCAGCACTGCCTGGCCAAGAAACAGATCTGAGGCCCAGGGGGAGCTGGAGATGAGGCTGACCGGGAAAGGGCTGATGAAAGGAGTTCTCCAGCAGCTCAGACATCAGGATTTGAGGCCGGCTGCAGCAGTCCGTGCCCAGCCCTGCCTTCGGGCTGACGGCTGGGTGCCCAGAGCAGGGGGTGCGTGGGGGAAGCTGGGCCGCGGATCCCGCTCTGCAGGGCTGAGCAGGGCCTGTTTTCTGCTCACCTGTCCCACAGGTGGAGAGAAGGCTGGCACTCCCTAGGGCAACCGTCACAGGATGTGGTTGTTGCTGTGATGGGCCCCCTTCCCCAGACGGAGGGGGATTCCTAGGGGAGGAGCCAGGGGTGCGGTGGGCGGGCAGACTTCCAGGGCAGTCTGTGAAAGCCTTTTTTGTCAGACAGCCTGGGCTCAAGTCCCGACTCCACCCTGTCCTGGCTGTGTGGTCTCAGGTAGGTCACTCAGCATCTCTGAGCCTTTGCTGAGAAGTTTGTAAAATGCACATGGCAATAGGAGGCACCACATGGGTGATGGCAAGAGTAAAGCCTCAGTGATGCATGTTTCCTCTCATGGGTAGATTAATCAATAGAGGCATGCAATCTCCTTAAAAGGAGAAAAGGGAGAAGTAGAGAAGACAGCTATTTGTGCTGGAGGAGGCGCGAGCATCTTGTCCTGCTCTCTGACAGGTAAGGATGCTGAGGCCTGGCAGGGAAAGGACTTGTCCAAGGTCACTCAGAGAGTTAATAACCAAGTCACAATTCGGCCCTACTCTACCCCACTCCTACCCCCCCAGGAAGATGGTGACACCTTCTTTTCTCCCAGAGTTCTCCCTCATTCCGCATCAAAGCCCCTTCTCCCATCCTTGTCACCACCAGTCCAAGAAAAACTGGGCTACTCTGAGACATGTCTCCCTTGCCCCTTCCCAGCCCCTGGGCAGCCTGGATGCAGGAGGGTCACACGTGGCAGGAGACAGCCTGAGGGCTGGTGTCCAGAACCTACAGAGCCTGCTTCCTGGGTTTGGTGATGAGGGCTGCTCACAGGGAGGCCCCCCAATGCGTGCATCTCCCAGGAACCCAGACCAGCCATCTTAGGGAAGTCACGGACAAAGCAGGCGTGTTGTCAAGAGACCAGGGGTTATAATAAGCCTCAAGGCTCTGGGAGCGACAACACCATGATGTTAAAGGGAGGTGGCAGCTGAATGAACCCCAATTTTAGAAATATCCATATGGGGAGGGGCTGCACCTGAGAACAGAGACACTGTAGCGATTTTATGGCTGTGCAAGTGCCATGGGAGAGCGATGCGCAGCGAACGGGCAAGGCCCAGGAGAGTGCCTGACCCTGCCGGAGAGGGGCCGTCTGGGAAGGCTTCCCAGGGAGGCGATGCTGAGGTTGGGTCGCAAAGGGCGAGAAGGCATTAGCTCTGGACCAAGAGAGGGAAGGATGCTGCAGGGCGATGGGACGGCATGAGCAAAGGCAGAACAGGAAACCTAGCGGTGCATGAGGTCACAGGTGGTCCAGCCTAAGAGAAGATACTGCGGGCAGTGCATTCTCAAGCCAACTATTTCCTCGGAGAGAAAATGGAGGCCCAAAGAGGTTAAATGATTTGCCCCAGTCACATAGTTAAACAGCATCAAGCCCTTCCTGGGTCCATTCCGCTACTGACTCATCAGTGCTCACAGCAGCCCTGTGAGGTGTTCTTATCACCCGCCTGTTAGGGCTGAGGGAGCAGAGCCTCTGGAAGATGCAGAGTTTTTCCCAGGGAAAAAGTGCTGGGCGCTGGCTGCTTCTCCATGTGGCCTCCTGAGGTGACAAAGGCCACACTAAAGGGTCCTTTCTATGCTCATGGATCTGACTGCCTAGTGGGAACATCATTCCTACTCCAGGCCCACCGTTTATTGTCCTCCTCCTGACGCCTGCAAGAGCCTGAAGGACGAAGACAGGGTTTGGGCAGAACCCACCAGGTCCCACCAGGGTCCTCAGCTCCTATCTGCTCCCCGGGCAGCACGGACGTGGCTCTGGGGCCGGTCCCAGGAGTCAGGTTCAGGCTCCATGCCCCCAGCTGAGCATCGCCTGCTGGTACCCAACCTTTTCCACTGGAAACCTCACCTCTGAGGCACATCTGCCAAGCCACCACTCAGCTCCCCATCCCTCCCTATCACCCCATCTGTGGTTTCCACTTCCGTCCCTCCCTAAGCGTCTCTGGACGGTCCTGGAGCTGGGCAGAGGTGGCTGGGGAGCCGTGTGGGCCCTCAGAGTGGACCCCTCTTCCTGGTGGCCCCAGGCCCCTGCCCTGGCTTTGTGATGATGGGATGGAGGCTCCAGAATGAGGAGGAGCAGGGGAGACCCATCAAGGAAAGATGAGTTCAAAGTCGCCTCAGTGGAAAGTTCATCTCTCCCCACATCCTTCAGCTGTTTACCAGTTTGACGGGGTTCTGGCATCCTGACATGAAAAGAGGCTCACCCCTCACCATCATCGAGGAAGGACCAAAATAGCAACAGAGGAAGACAAAGAAGAGAAAGACAAAGGGAGAGGAGAGACAGAGTAATGAGACAGAGAGGAAAATAAGCGAGGCCACGCATATCTGGCCTGGCAGACATTGGGAGAGACAGCAGGCCCCACGAGGCCACCGTGGTCCCTTCCACTGGACACTGTCCTGCATCCCTTCCTTGTGTGGCTCACTTAATCCTCAACCCCTCAGGGCAGTAAGGCATCCTAATCTCTATTGTCTTCCAGGTAAGAAAAGTGAACCCTAGAGGAGTCACAGAGCTAGTTCAAGGACACCGGTGAGGACCCTGGGAGCCGGACACCCAGTAGGGCTCCACACAGCAGGCAGGAAGGAGGAAAGGGAGGAAACTGGAAAGGCAGGAGACGGGAGAGCCAGAAGGGCGTGGAGGCCAACGAAGGACAGAGAGACAGCCTATCTTGAGGAAGGATAGCTCCCCCGCAAGAGGACCCAGCCCCATCCTGGCTGAAGCAGGCCCCCCTTCCTGTCTCTCCCTAGGCCACTACACCCTGGCCCCCCAAATGCAGAAGGAGGAGAGGCAGTCATCCCAGGGCCATGGGCTCTGCCCAAGACTCACTTCCCTCCCGAGTGACCGCGTTCAGAGCAGTGCTCTGCCTGTGGGTCTCCTGCCTGCCCCGCCACCCCTGAACGGGGGTCACACTCGCCTCCCCACCCACTGCCTCACGGCAGGGAGGGAAAATGACCCACATCTACACACTCACGGACATGCCCTCCCTGCGGCGCGCAGGCCGCACTCTGCTCTCCCTCCAGGAGACGCCATTATTCCCCAAATCGGAGCTCCTGCTTCCCTCCCGGCCTCCACCCTGGGTGTGGCCGCAGCAACCCCTGGGCCTCGTTTGACTCCCTGCCTGGCCGGTGGAAGCTGCTGTCCTCTGAGGATGAAAAGCTAAAATAACTGGGGTCAGTGGCCCCCAACTCTTTTGCAAGCCGAGACACAGTGAGGCCCTGTCACATGACCACGAGCGTCAGCCTCTCCTCCAAACCGGCGGCCCCTTCTGTGGCAATGCCCTGACTCCCTGCCGTTTGCTCCACTTCCTGCTCTCACTCTC